CAATAACCCCGCCAAACAATTAGCGATGGGGAATAAAATTTATACAGCGATAAGATTTGACAAATTGTTGATTTTTCTTACGCATTTTGATTGAAACGATCTCTGTTGCATAATAACAAAAAAAACTTGATGTGTTCAATATATTGATTTGTTTATATTGTTATTTCTCTGTCAATACATTGTGTGATTTAATAAAATTATTATATATTATATATGATTCTGTGTCGTTTTCTTTATTGAGTATTAGTTTTAGCAACCGCGATTATGAGAAAAATAAGAAAAAACGCAGAAGTCACAGATAGAAATTCATTGTAGGTTTGATAAAATCACTACGAATTTATAGAGAGAGAGAGAACGTACACGTTCATTCTAATTCTTTGAGAAAATTTTATTAAAATATATATCTGTGACAATAAAATAAATAATTACTTTCTGTTTTTATAAAAAATTTTATTTTTTATTACAATAAACTACATTATAAATTGTGATAATAAAAAGTTGGTTATTATTCTAATTTTTTAATTAAAACATATATATGTAGGAAATAAAGGTTCAATAGAGGTTTTATGTGAACCTACCGTGCTACTCTAGCTCCTACGTAAAGAAGATCTACTTTAATGATTATAATATTGAGAGGATTTGAAGCTTCAAAGTAGGATAAAGGTAAAATTCATACACCGAAAAAATTATATTCTTGTAAGTAGAAGATTTTATACTTAAAAAATCTTCTTAAAGATTTTAGATGATATTCTTCTGAAATTAAGAATATATTCTTTATTTAAGAATATAGTCTTTTTCGATAGTGAGATATATATGTTTTTCTATAGAGGCTTTTTATATTCTAATCAGTATATATTCTTATCAATATTACTATTTAGAGGATTTTCTTCTTAAAATAAGAAACTCTTCTTGGCGCCTATTTTAGTATAAAATACGAGTATACTTAAAGTAAGTGGGATATCCTCAAAACAAGAATACAATTTTTTCGGTGTAGAATTAAAGGTTCAAAAGAGGAGTAAATGAATATAATCGTCAAAGTAGGTTTAAATAAGTATATTGGTCAGCTAAATAGGTTCAAAGTATCTTCAAAAGTTTGAAAGTAGCATCAAAATTTCGGCTCGGGAAGTTTCAAAACGAGTTAAATATTTCGCCGTAATTTCTCAATTCTTCTCGATTAACGATTCCGAGATCGATCGCCGTGCGATTCATCTCTTGCTACAAAAAAAAAAAAAATGTTCTCTATTAATCGCGCAAGTCAATTCCACACTTGCATCACTTACATCTCGTTTAGATTTTTTAATGATGAAAAAAATGTCGCATATATATATACAGGCGAGCGGGTCGTCGGAGAACTGGCTAAAAATCTTTGTCAAGAGTTAATCGACACTCCTTCGCCGCGGGTCGATCTCTTCGAAGGGTCTTAAGACAGAATCAAGGCCGCGACACCGGTCTCCCAAGCTGGCTTTTATGATTGCTGGTTGAGTGACCTCCGCGTTCGTTCTAGGGAACAGCCGGAGAGATTTCGACGCTGCCGTTGTGTTTGGTCCCGTCCCTCTTCTTCCTCTTTTCTTTATCACAAGCTTTTGCTCTCTTTTCTATTCCCCGCTTCTTCTCATCTGAAAATATAATTGACTTCACTCGTCTTTCTTCTCGTGTCTCTTTACCTTTTTATAAGAAAAGAAAGAGAGAGAGAGAGAGAGACAATCGTGAGCGAGATGATTTATCATTTATCGTTCGTTGACGTGTCGCTCTCTCTCTCTCTCTCTCTCTGTTGAGATGATGAGTAATACGGACGACCGATAATTTGTATGTTTGCGACATATTGACAGCGAGGACCGAGTCGATCGAGAACGGGGACCGCGCAACCTTCGCAAAGATCGGGTTTCCTCGCGCGAAAAGATCCATCCTCCGCGAGAGATTGAATACGATATACTGACCCTGACGAGACTTGCATTCGCAACGATTATTACAACGACAGACAGGTGTTTGTAATGCTCGTGTGGCTTTTCCTTTAATCATACGGTTCTTGTCGACGGCGCTTCGGACACACAAACTACCGATCAGATCTCCGATTAAACGGGCACGATTCTTCAAAGAATTAATTGTCGACAAACGTTATGGCTATTTAGTTAATTATATGTTATAGCTTTATTTATACGCGCGCGTATCGGTGGATAAAATAAGGCGGAATAAACGCGTCTGTGATAATAACACTGTTGTAATTTTTTTTTTTTTAAATACAAATTTTTTGAAAAAAAAAACCTCACTTAATTCTTCAAGTCCAGACATGGGTCTCCCAGACCCACTCAAAAGAGGAAAGTTTGAAATTAGACAACGGTAATGTTGTAATTTTTTTTTTTAAATACAAATTTTTTGAAAATTTTACTTAATTCTTCAAGTCCAGACACGGGTCTCCCAGACCCACTCAAAAGAGGAAAGTTTGAAATTAGACAACGGTAATGTTGTAATTTTTTTTTTT